AAGTAAATTTTTTGAGTACTTTCTCCACCACTGGGATTAAAAGACTTAAAAAGCAGCAATAATATGATTTATCTGCTGTATTTAATGTGTAGTTAGGTGAAAATTCTACTGAGGCATTTTTTGTTCTTTTTAATAGTTTTTGAAATTCAAACTGTTATAGGTACAATGTAAATAAGTTATTTATGGCTGTCATATCTTCCCATAGAGAATAACATGAACAGACAATCCCACTGCATCATCATTCATATATTATCACTTTAATAAGTTTGCTGTTGCTGGAGTTGAGCTGCGGTTCAGAGCAGACAGACTGCAGTCGGGTCGACCGGGGCCTGTCCCGGCCGGCTGGTGCGTTTGGGGCCCGGTGGTTAACGAGCTTTCACGTTCGCCTCGGCGTCACGCAGCACCTTCTTCATTTTGTGGCGCCACTAAAGCCTCAAACTATTCCAAATGTCTTCTCTCCCATGAACACTTTAAACATGAACATCGCGCCAGCGGCCAGAGCAGAACCAGTAAAACCCGTCCCATAAAGCTCAGGCTACCAAGTCAAACTGTGATAAACTATAATATTGTTGGTTTGAGACCATTTTCAGTAATAAAGTATTTTCGAAGACATTTTAAATGTTCAAAATAAACAAAACAACAGAAACTACAAATAAAATGAATTATGAAGTCCTGCTGTGGTTTTCCTTCTGAAACTCTACACACAGTTAAAAACACAAACATCCTTTTTTTTAGGTTGAAAAAATTTAAATGGTGAAAACTTGAAACAATTTAATGAATCCAGAAAAGTGATGTAGTTTTTTACATTATTTATTGAGTTCTCAGTACTTCTGTGTCTAAGTTTGGTTTTTTTTTACTTTTGTTGTGAAAAGCAGGAAAACCAACTTTTGGAGTTGGTGTCTGATTTTGTTAGGAAAGTTTTGCATTTATTTAATTAGATTTAAATGGTTTAGGAGTCTCTTGTTAGCATTAACTGTTGGATAAATGACCTGAAAACTAAACACTAGAATAATTTAAGGAATTCTTCCTCAAATGGGTTTTACATAATTAGTATCTTCTCCAAAGTTTAAATTGTTGAGTTAAAGCCCAAAACTTGAACATTTCCTGAAGTTTTCTGAGTTACTTTCTCTTTTTACAGTGTATCAGCCAAATATGACCCAAATGACATTATTCTGCTGACAAACAAGGATGCTTCTTTATTTAAATCTGTTGGAGAGCAGGACGTATTTTCTGATTTCCTGTCATTAATGCTGAGCTGAGGTTTGTTTTTACCTGAGACCATGAAGCAGACATGCAGCAACATCTTCTCATGGCGGCTGAAACCCTGCATGTTTCCTGCTGCTGCTCAACCATCTGCTGCAGAGAGGCGAAGAGAAAGAGGACGCTCCGTCTTCCTGGCAGACCGCTCACTCAGCCGGGTTTTACTTCCAAACCCGTGCAGAGACACGAAGGATTTCAGACAGAGTTTATCAGATGAAACTGAAAATACCTGAAAAAGACCCAAACAGGATGTGGTAAACTTTGCATTCAGCAAACCCCCGTTCCTCTGTCCAAATGAAGCATTTGTGGGCTTATGGTGGGTGGGCTTCTTCTCTCTGATTTGCACCAAAAGTCTTCTGGGAAAAAAAAAAACATATGGGAAGAAAAATAAAGGAAACTTTCTGCTCCCTGTTTTTTAAATGAAGTCTGAACTTTTTAAAAATGAAGCTGGTGATTATTCACCTGCTGAGCTCTGGTCAGTCGTTCTTCTGTCTGTAATGACTTCAGCGACGGTCTCTGGAAGTTAGTTCTGCTGAAACCAGTCTCACACATTTACTCTGCCTCTGGATGCCTTTTTCCGTCGCTCCGCCTCTAGGTGACATGTTTCCATGACAACTGACTTATTGCTAATAGTCTGGTAGTTGCTGAGAGCGCTGCAGAGGTGTAGACCACCGCTCGCTCTTCGACAGGATGTTGTTTAACACGTTAACGCCTACCTTCAAAAAATAACATCTAATGACTAAAAACTGGAAAATCCATCAGTCTCTCACATTACTTAACAAGTTTAGTCATGAAGAACAACTGTTGTGTTAAATTATGTTTAGTCAGTTTAGTCAGAAATTATTCAAAATATGATATTTAGGTTTTGCTCTGTACAATAACACATACTGTATATAACATACAACATAGTGTTGTTTCTCTATGTTGTAAAACATAGTATGTTTTATACAGTGGTGGGAAGTAACGAAGTACAAGTACTTCGTTACTGTACTTAAGTACA